GACGTATTTGACATATATAGACGATGGGTTTTCAACAAACGTCGTCTAATTAAAACCACGACAGTAGTTAAAGAACACCGTCGTGTATAAGTAATACAGACGACGGTTTATGAAAAAACCGTCGTCGTATGCCTAAAAACGCCTTGATATCCCAGTTTATTTTCAAGAACCCGAAACCCTATTAAGAACACAACGTATACATTAATTTTTATGTTGGGTATTAAGCATGAAACCAACATATACTAAGCATGAAAATAATAAATCCATTCCCTATTCAACATAATAGAGAGTGATCATGAAAACATTAAACAGAAAATCCATGAACCCATACCTCCAACAACATTATTAAAAGATCGCAAAACATATATCTAAAACCCTTTAACAAAACAACATAATATCATTCAATGAATTTAAAAGGGGAAGATAAGGGTTTGTATTTACAGGTTGGCAGAGCTCACAGATTATGGCCTACTTGGATTCGACGGAGTCTGGAGAGCCCAACTTTGAATTAGAGATTAAGTGAGAGAGCGAAATGTTATGTTGCGCGAAATTTGAAAATTTTATGGTTCAAGGTTACAAGTATAAGACTTAGAACGAAATCTGAAAATTTTAGGTCGCGTGAAATTTTTTTGGAAAGCGCGCTCTTTAAAACATCGACGGAAAAAACAACCGTCGTTAAAATTTCACTTTAAACATGACGCTTATTACATTAATGACGTCGTGGTAAAACTATGCACGACGTAAAATCAAACAGCAGTCGTCAAAACTAAGAGAAACCATGGTGAAAGTTTTACCAGAACCGACGTAAATACATTATTCCACGACTCAAACACTGAACTTAACGCCGTTTATTTTAAAGAAACCACGTCGTCTGTTGAACCAATAGCGTCATTTGAATAACCTTTTACGTTTTTTTTAAAATCGATGACGTTGTTATTCGTGTACAACGTCATTTTAAAGAAACATAAACATCATCGTCAAAAAAATAAACATCGACTGGAAACATAAATACCGTCGTTAAAAAATAATACCCTAAACCCTAAACCCTAAATTAAATATTACTAAAATATAATTTTATAAAAGGGTTTATGGTTTTACAGCCTAATATATAACAAACATAAACCGTAAACCCCAA